TGATCTGAGAAACAACAATATATGTTGTATTTTTGATTAACAATCTGATAAAAGGTGTCTCAGAAAAATGTTGAGTGCTGCTAGGGAAATACTGATCCAAAAGCTTGAGTGTGACTAGTCTAGCTCTTAAATTCCAATGCTCCTTAATACAAAATCCTTTTGGAATAATGTGTAGTATCTGGATACGTTTGCAGACCTTCTCAGATCTTACACACTCATCTTCACCCTGTGATATGGCAGGTGAATTATGCACTGAGTGCTGGAATGGTTGTGGTTATATTCGCTGGATTCAACAAGAAAGCATACACTTCTCCAACTAATCTCCCTGTGCTTATTGCCTTGCTGCTTCTGTATGGGTGAGTTTTCAAAGTTGTTCCTGCATGTGGGGCCCTGTATTTTACATGGAAATGATTCTATGTTATTGAGCTCAGTATATAGTGAAATCCAGCTTTAAGGAATAAAACTGAGTGGGTACAATACAGGTTAGAACTGGATTCTGTTCCTGCTCCAGGATATTTACACATTCTGTTTGGCCACATGCTATAAAAGACATTTTTTTTTTTGTCACTGCCTGACATTTTTAAGCATTAAATATGATCCTTACAGGAAAATATATTCGTTCAGTTTGCTGCTTTCTGATATGTATATTGTGTAGGAAATTAGTGGTTGTTCATTTGCCTTATTGACAGCCGATACTAAAATAACTTTCAGTATTTAACCCAAGGACAAAGAGTACTGAGTCTTCAACACTTTAACTTCAAATGAGCATTTGTGTTGGCAAAATAGCATTTCATAAGGCTGACTGAAATTGACTTTCATTTAATTAGTCATCATATATTTTTATCTATGAAATCATATTCCTGATAGCCCTGCAGTTGATGTCGTCTAGGCAAAATGATCAACCAGATCTATTTCTAGAGTTAAAGAAAGAAATTAAGCTTTTCTCATCCTCTGATGTTTATCACAAACTAAGTCTAAGAGGAAACAGGTCTCTTCTGGGCAGACTACCTTTAATTTTCTCAAGTTTTCATGTTCTTTGAATGAAAATCCTGAGAAAATGCAAAGCATTATCATCATTTAATCTCTGTAAAATACCCAATGTTAAAAAATGCTATCAGAATGTTCCTTTGTTTTAATTTTTCATTATACCTTTTTAAAGTGCAATAGTGGTATCTTTAATATGTTGTCTGTGGCTCTATATATTTTTTTAAAATACAATCACTCGTGGCTGTGTGGATGAACATTTAAAATGTATTTACATATTTTAAAGCATTTAACAATGAAATTTTCAGAAAAAAAAATACAAGCACATGGAAGTCGCTTCAATAATAATTTCATAATTCGCTATTCAAAATAAAAAAAAAAAAAAAACAAACAGAAAGGAAGATAAATTCATAGAACCATATATTAGCCATTGTGTCCATCTCTGGTTGGTTACACTACTTCATTACATTTGGGATGAGAAAAAGCTCTCCTTTGTGTTTTCATTAGACCAGCTGACAAGAGAATACTGAGAAGCTGTTCTCATAGTTTTTCTATCTTTTGCATGCAGATGGGCAGTAATTCCCATGATGTACCCTGCTTCTTCTTTCTTCAGTGTCCCTAGCACTGCTTACGTTGCATTGTCTTGCATTAATCTCTTTGTGGGTATCAACAGCAGTGCCATTACATTCATCCTGGAGCTATTTGAAAATAACCCGGTAAGTAATGTTTTTCTTGACACCTGGTTTTAAAGAGCTGTGCAAAGGGTGTCCAAGCATAACCATCTCTAACAGTAACTGTCTTTCTCTACCTTGACATTCTTTCTGGCAGAATGGGGAGCTCACTGAGTAACTGCAGGAACAGATGAGCAGAATAAGGCAGAGAAGCAGCTCAGGGTAACTGATGTCTTGGGCTACACTCACAAGGAATGACACTGAGTGTTTTTCATCCCTTTAACAGTTGAGGAGGAGAGGACATGGCACTTTGTGCTTGGTTCTGCAGCTTAGATTGTACAGAAAGATGTAGATTTAGGAAAATCATGGAGTCACTACTAAGGAAAGACACTGTTGCTAGTTATTGTGTTAGAGAAGACGTTCTGCTTATAGTAGCATTTTGAGAATTTCCCAAATTTTCCCCACCAGGAAAGAGACAGAAAGTATAAGAATAGACAGAATGCAGTGAATGCCAAAATTAGTTCTTAGAAGGGCTAAGAGATCAGTTTATAAAACACTGTTGGCTTGTATGCACTAGTACTACCACCTCCACAGTTGCTGATACTCTGGCCACTGAGACTGACACCCTTTCTACATCTGACAGCAATCTAATTAGCTATCACTACTGATAGTGCATTTCCAAACACCATGTGCAGATCAAACACTTGTTTGCTGGGAAGGAGAAACAGATCTGGGTTAAGTTCATGGTTTCAAGGGCCAACTTTATGATACTTTCTGTCCCTAGCGTGCCTGCATTCTAAGCCATACTTCTTGATAGCACAGGGTTCCATCTAGTGCCATTCAGTCTGTGGGAGAGCAGGCCAATATTGTTACCTTTGAGAACGTCTCCATTGTAGACACTGTGTCTCCAGAGGGGAAATTACCCTTCTCTGGATTCAGTGTTGGTGCAGCTAGACTGCTACTGGCAGTTACACTGTTTTGGGTATCTCCACATTGCACCAAAGTCTACTATGTAGTTATGCCCAGACACTGGTACTTTTCAGTATTGTGGCTGTCCTGATTATAGAAATATTCCAGCTACAAAAAATATGTTATAACAGAAAAATACCACTCTCTCTTGTTGCTCACTCACAGTTGCTGTTTATAATAGCTGACACCAGAATTACATATTACCTCTGCTACATACTTCCTTACAAAGATTAATTTCTCTCCCTATTGCCAGTTTTTCACAAGCACCTTGTCTGGTGTAGTGTATGCCAGCATTCTGCTGTGCTGCATTCTAGGTTGTGGATGCTTTGGGTGTAACTTGACAAATACTGTTTTCTCTGCTGTAAGAACACAGAACATCCCGTTTCCCTGACATGACAAAGAACTTTTTACTCATGTTGCTATGTTTTCTTAAAGAAGTCTGGTTTCAACTGCTTAGTATGTTGTTTCTGTTTCTTATAGTCTTTGCTGAAGTTTAATAAAACATTGAAAAATGTGCTGATTGTCCTCCCGCATTTTTGCCTGGGCCGTGGACTCATTGACTTGGCCATGAACCAGGCTGTGACTGAAGTATATGCCAGGTTTGGTAAGTAAGAGCCAATAAGCAACAAGTTATATCAGTGTCACATGACCTGACCTTGGATAAGAGGGTTGGAAGTGTTATCATGGAAAATTAGTGGCTGTTTCTGAAATTGTCCCTGTTCACATCATCAGGTGGGTGAGAAGTAGGAAAGTTCAACCTCTCTGAAAGAATCACAGCTTCTGATACAACTGCCAGAACTCTACAGCCCAACCAGTAGTCTGTACTGAAAATGAACCCATTTGTTCAATGCCAGACTCTGGAGTCTTTTTATCATTTAGGATCTGAAGTCCTTATATCTTTACAGTAGGATATATTATTCCATTTCATTTGAATACTTCTGCGGCCCTCATGCTAATGCTTAAAGTGGCTGCTGTTCTTCAAATGCATCCTCTTGGGGTATGGCTGTCTTTGATATCAGACAACTTCTTATTAAAAGAATAGTCATAAAGCAGAACTCATCTGGTTTTATTCAGAAAATGTATGTCTTTCACATAATCCTTTCAAATTTTATGTTATGATATCTAAATTAGTGCATATTCAGAGAGCTTATATTCATTTTTGCTCCCATGCAGCAGCTGAGCTTGGAGTGTATTTATATAATCTTTATAATACACTGGAAAATGGAGACATTACCTGATCATGGTCAAATAAAGTACAGATTTTCATCCTAAACCATTATGATTATACCTCTTGTTCTGAGAAGCAGTGTTTTGTTTCACTAGTATTTCACCTTGCTTTCTGGTGCTCTTTCTCCAAAGGTGAGGAGCATGTTTCCAATCCTTTCCAGTGGGACTTTGTTGGAAAGAACCTGGTTGCCATGGCTGTTCAAGGAGTTGCATTCTTCATGCTGAATCTCCTTATGCAGCACCGTTTGTTCTCCACAAGATGGTATGTCTGAAAGCTTGTATTAATGTTCTTTCATTATCAAGGTGTCTTTGTTATTCTCTGTGTCCCTCTTTTTTCTTTTTCTCTGTTTTTTTCAGCTTTTTTTTTTTCTGCTTGCTTATCTGATTTCATCTTAATTTGTTGATATCCTAGTTCAAGAAAGCATTTACAAATATGCATTATTTTATCAGGATTGTTAATATATTGTTAAAGAAATGAGTTTTCTTGAATTAAGTCTTTAATGTAATTTTTTTAGATTAAGACGCTGTAATAGTGAGGTTATAAAATGGCTTGGAAAGTTTGCACTGGCATGAGGTACTAGCCTGACATCCCAAGACAGGAATTCTTGTCCATTGCAGAGGACAGTTGCAGCCTGGACACTATGCAAGCTTCCCCCCTCTGCTTTACAAATGTGCCTCTATCTCAATGAAAGCAGGTCCCTTCCAGGTGCGAGTGCATTATTCACTCCTGTTCGAGATTGCCAACAAGAGTACTAACTGGTACATTATGAAAATATTGTCTGACAGGGAGGTCTACTCAAAAGGTCTGTAGAAGAACTATCATTAGCAACTGAAGAGCAGCCAAACCCTGAAAAGATGGCTGAGGGGCAAGTCATGTCCTATCAGTGACTGACAAGGCATACTATTTTGAGCAAGCCATTTCCTCCCTTTTTACTATTTAGAGATTAACTTTCAAAGGTCAGGTATTCTTCTAACAGCAAGAATGCTCCAGCCACTGTCACGTTGTGAAGTTTCAATCCCACTGCTTCCACCAGTCACATTTTTGGCAATTGATTAGCCATTGTTTCACACTGTTACTCTAACTGCACCCAGGGCAAAGCATTGTTTCTGCAGTCAATCTCTTGGGTTTTTCCAGGTTTGTTCAGAGTGCCATGTCACCTATTATTATTGGTGAAGATGAGGATGTTGCAGAAGAAAGAAAAAGAATTATGAATGGAGGGAACAAAACAGATATCTTAGAATTACAAGAACTGACCAAGGTAATATTTTGAGAAAAATTAAACAAATTAGTCTAGTGTAAATTTATTCTTTCAGAATGTATTTCAGCTATGGATTCAGATGGTGTTGTTTCCAAAAGCAACCTCGTGCATTAGAAAATAACAAAAATTTTAGAAGCCAAGGCTTGACATGTTATTTGGCTATTTCTTTTGATTAGAAATCAAACCATAGGGAAGTCCAGCAAGGACAGTGCAACCCTCCCTGCTTAAGGGAATATTTTTTTACTTCACGTCGTCTGATATGACTGTTTTCTATTGAGTGGCCATTTCTACTACTAGTCTTTTCTTCTATAACGCTGTTTTTTCCATAGGTGAGTTTCGATCTCAAGTTAACCATTTGGTTGCTTTCACATTGAGGGCTACAGTTATTGCTAATTTATCTTCTTTCCAGACTGAGTTATGCTATCAGAATGCATGCAAGCTTGAGCTACAGAAATACAAGGATTACACACATTGCTGGAATCTCATGAATAGAGAAGTAGAGTATCATGCTTGAGACTATGTTGCTGTATTGTTCCACTTTGGTTTGATATGTCAGAGATACTGTGTCCCAGTAAAGCATCAGGTCTGTCTCCTAGTGCTAGAGATATGAAGTAAAAGGCTGCATGCAGAAAAATCAGTGGGTTTAGGGGTCATTACAAATTTATTTAATGTAATTGAATGTTTGACTTTGTAGAATGTTTACTCTTTCTTTTTAATTTTTTATTTACTCCTGTCTTGGTTCTAAAGTTGCCTCATCCCAGTAGCATTAAACTAAAAAATTCAGAATACTTTCTTTGCTGCAGATGTCTTGAAATAGGATTTTTCTTTTTTTTTTCTTTTTCTGTCAATTTAGATTTATGCAGGTAGGCACAAGCCTGCAGTGGACAGACTCTGTGTTGGCATCCGTCCAGGAGAGGTAGGTTGTTCAATAACACTAGATTACATTCCATGGATCAGTTCAGATTTCGTGCCTCTGCTGATTTGCAAGTTGGAAATACTAAAGAATGTAATAAATTTTGTAATTTAGTGCTTTGGTCTTTTGGGAGTGAATGGTGCTGGCAAAACAACAACCTTCAAAATGCTGACTGGAGATTCTGATGTGACATCTGGAGATGCTGTAGTGGCTGGCAATAGGTAGGTACCTTAAAAAAACCCAACCCTATGACAGTCCATTTACTGGGATAGAACTGCCCAGATCATTGTCTCAATGACCCAGCAGCTCTTTTCCAGTTTTATGGCACTAAGAGAGACCACAGCTAACACAAACTGGCACTTTATACTTTTAACACTCTGTTGTAAAATCTGTGGGTAAGTTATAGTAATGCTAACAGTGGGACAAGGCAATCGGATCTAATGGCAAGAGGTCGCAAACATAAGATAACCAGTCCAACAGGGTACTTTGATCTGAGCTTTGGGACTTTTCTCTGGCTGTTTCTAGGATCTTTGTTCACACAGTGCTGGTATAATGTCATAAGTTAATACAGCGTGATCTGGTATTCACTTATGTTAGATTAGTTCCAGATTGTGTGTCTTTGTTAGGTGTAACTGGGATTTGATTCTTTGTCCATTGATGTGATTTGAACAATATCTGTTTCGTTACCCAGACATGGTCCTGGGCAACCTGCTCTAAGTGACTCTGCTTGAGCAGGGTGGGTGGACGAGATGATCTCCAGAGGCCCCTTCCAATCTCAGCCATTCCATAATTCTACACTTCTCCTGTTATTACCATCAACAAAGTGTTAGCCTTGTGTCTTGCCTGTCTCTTCCCAGTGACCACACTCTGAGATTAAATCGACCGATTTTTTTCTTCTGGAAATAAGCACCATTTGCAAAAAAGGTGATCTGAGTGGCTGTTCAAAGAACTTCTCGTTAAGTTAGCCTATACTTAAACAGGAGAATGGGTGAGGGGAAATGGGTTACACTCTTAACCAGGCCTGAACTGACTCAGATGAGAATATATTCCTTGCTGTTCTGTATAGACAGATACTGTAGTAGGATATTGTATCAGTAAGAATTCATTCTCCTCTTACACGAGTTGTTGCCCTAGAAAAGAAAGATTTTATTCAAAGTGTCCATCTCTGTCTTAAAGCTAGTATTACAAGATTCTTTTCTTTGTTGCTCCAGTATATTGACCCACATTTCTGATGTCCATCAAAACATGGGATACTGCCCTCAGTTTGATGCCATTGATGACCTGCTCACAGGACGAGAACATCTCTACTTATATGCACGTCTGCGGGGGGTTCCAGCAGAGGAAATCAAGAGGGTAAAGCATTCTTGCTTTTGACTTGCACATAGTTACAGTGAATATTTGTGATGATTAACTGGGTTCGTAACATGCCAAGGGCCAGAATTTCCAAAGTGGGCTTGCCATTCTGCATGGTGAAGTTCTGGTAGTGGTTCCTGCCATTTGGACAGTTAAGTACAAGACTGCACTATCAAATGGCATTAATGGTACTTGCAAAACTGTGGCCAACTGTGTAAGGCTAAAATTGCTAAGACTCAGAACTGCACTGGTTGCTGTTTTGTTCTTGTCTTTAAAGTTGTTTATGTATAAGAAACATGAAGAAGATTCCAGAAGAAAGTAATTTAAATTCTTGCACAGATAGGAAGTTTACAGCTGAGGCTGGTTTATGGCTTTCTTTCAACTAGTTAGAATTCCTCTCATCATTGTAAATTTTTTAGGCTCCCCTGCTCCAATTCTAAAATGAATGTGTTAAAACCCAGGGGATTGCCCTGTCTCTGCCAGAAGAGGGATGTATCAGCAATCCTTTCTGTTATGCAGTAGCTGCTGTGTGAAAAAGATAGTCTTTCTCATAGGTTGCTGAATGGGGCATCCAGAAGCTGGGACTTCCTATGTATGCAGACCATCTGGCTGGTACCTACAGTGGTGGCAACAAGCGCAAGCTCTCCACTGCCATTGCACTGATAGGCTGCCCACCACTCATCTTGCTAGTGAGTATCACGGTAACATAGCTCTGTGGTAGTTCATTATAACATCTCATGAAACTACATGCTAAAGAGGTACAGTCCTCTTTATGACAGTCCTTGCAAACTCCTTTCTGCCCTCAACTTACAATTACTTCAACGTAATTTTAAGTTCTTTAATATTCAGGGATAGACTAGGACCCATAACTATGTTTTCAATGGACCCCAAGTGATTATGAAAGAAAAATCCTCAACAAAGAATGGTTTGAGATAAAATCTATAATCCAGACAAATTTGAATTTAAATCCATGCTTGGTTTCAGTCTACCTTTTCTTGTCAGAGTATGACCTCTCATGTAAAAGATGATCTTAGAACATATTCCTTGCTGCTTTATACAGCAGCACAGAGGAAGATAACTACCCTTTTACAGCCTTGAATGTCTTTAGAATAAATCACACAAATTTAGACTAAATTATACAAATGCTGAAATGTAGTTCTCATCAAATAACATAAGTTATCAGATAATTGCATATATCAAGGGAAATTCTGAATGCAATTACCGCAAAGATTGTTTATTTACATTATACATGTACCATCTTAATTTTTAGGCTAAAAAGAAACATTTTAATAGCATTTTAATAGCATGGTTCCTTGTGCCATTTAATATGTCTTTAAATGTATTCTGCCCGTATTTAGTAAACAGCCAGATAAAATGTTTTCTCATAATTTCTTAAGACAAACTGCTGAATGAAATTTTTTTTTCTCCAAAATGTTAAACTTTTTTATGTTACTAACTGCATTAATTGATTTATGCAGGACCAGATCCTTAGCTGGTGTAAATTAGGGTAACTTCACTACCTTTTTGTGTTGAGAAATGTGTCCTGTATGTTTATGTAACTAAGAAGGTTACTTGGGGAGAACTCACTCTCTTCTTACAACAGTAGTTGTCCCAGAAAAGGAAGATTTTATTCGAAGTGTCTATCTCTGTCTTAAAGCTAGTATTACGGATATAAGATTCTTGTCTTTGTTTCTCCAGTATATTGACCTACATCTCTAATGGCCACCAAAACATGGGAGCCAAACTCGACACAATTTGATGTAACTGCTACTGCATGATCCTCTCTCCATTTATTTCTATTTTGGGTCCTAAATGTTTTTATAACTGAATATCACAAATGCTTACGTTTTTTATATCTAAGACCCTAGACTGACGACTGCCTTTGTTGTAATGGTCACTGCCTTCCCTTCCCTGCAGCTGTGCCCTACACAAACAGCATTATATTCTTACCTGCAGTTTCTTGTACTTGTTTCCTCACTGCTTCGTGCCAAGAGATACATTAGTACCTATTCGTAGAATCGTAGAACGGTTTGGTTTGAAAGGGACCTTAAAGATCATCTAGTTCCAACCTCTCTGCCATGGGCAGGGACACCTTCCCCTAGATCACGTTGCTCAAAGCCTCATCCAGCCTGGCCTTGAACACTTCCAGGGATGGGGCATCCACAGCTTCTCTGGGCAACCTGTTCCAGTGCTTCAACACCTCAGAGTGAAGAATTTCTTCCTCAGATCTAATCTAAATCTGCCCTCTTTCAGTTTAAAACCATTGCCCCTTGTCCTATCACTACATGCCCTTGTAAAAAGTCCCTCTCCAGCTTTCTTGTAGACTCCCTTTAAGTACTGGAAGGCTGCTAGAAGGTCTCCCTGGAACCTTCTCTTCTCCAGGCTGAACAGCCCCAACTCTCTCAGCCTGTCTTCATAGCAGAGGTGTTCCAGCCCTTGGATCTTCTTTGTGGATGACATTCACGTGGAGCAAATTCACATATATGCTGCTCAAGGTGCATATGCTTTGTCAAGGCATGGATTTCAGTAGGAAAGCAGCTGTATGCTAAGGCCCAAACACACAATGGCTTGATTCTAAACAGATTTTCTTATCTGCTTCTCTGACTCTGATTGTCTTATCGTTTCCCTTACAGGATGAACCGACTACTGGAATGGACCCTCAGTCCCGGCGCCTCCTGTGGGACTCTATTGTCAGCGTGCTCAGAGATGGGCGAGCTGTGGTTCTAACCTCACACAGGTAAAAAGAGTTAGAGTTCAGAATCCCAGAGTAGCTGGAGTTCACCTGCTGGCTTTTATCTCAAATATCTGTTCTCTGTTTTGAAAGTATGGAAGAATGTGAAGCCCTCTGTACTCGTTTAGCCATCATGGTAAAAGGTACCTTCAAATGCCTGGGCACAATTCAGCAGCTAAAATACAAGTAAGTAGAGTATTTTTATGGTGGATTTTTATGAGAAAACTTAGCGTGTGTGACATGTACCATTTTTAATCCAACAATCCAACCTGAAGAGCTGTTGTTTAAACAGACCTATTTCTGGGTGCAACTCTGTGGTATCCTAGACAGTTTGAGAAGACCTCATTTCAACTTTTTGTTATGCTACACACTGATTCTGCAGGGCAAGTACAGAGCTTCCTACAAAGCTAGATCTTATGCATTAGCTTTCAGATACTGTTGATGTTTTTGTAGCTGCTGAAAATGAATTTGCTTCCTAAATAATGAAACCATTTCTTCATTCAATTCTCAAATCCACATGTGCTTCCCAGGTTTGGAGATGGCTACATTGTCACTCTGAAAATCAAAACTCCAAAGTCTGGGCTGCCTCCAGACCCTACTCCTGCTGAGCAATTCATACGCATGAACTTCCCAGGGAGTTTACAGAGAGAGAAACACTACAATATGCTGCAGTATCAGATTTGCTCCTCCTCTCTGGCTAAGATTTTTCGGTTAATAATCTCCAATAAGGAAAACTTGCATATTGAAGAATATTCTGTGTCTCAAACAACTTTAGATCAGGTAAGTGAAAAATAAAGCACCTACGAGAAAGCCTGTCTGGTGAGAATTAGGCAATGCAATGAGAATGTATCTGAACAACTGAAGGACCAAATTGTTCAGAGTAGAGAATTATCTTGCACCTCTTTCTCAGGCAAAATTCCCAGACTCCTCATCAAGGAGTGATGAAGACATTTACAGACATGAAATCTGTAACTAATTCCCTTTGTAAATAGGTGCCATTTGAAAGCTGGTAAGACAGTGTTTCCCAGATACCAGAAATCACACAACCCATTCCTTGAGAAGAAGCAGCCTGAGCAAGGTCAGCTATTCAGAATGAGGCTTGCTGAGCTGGGAGAAACGTCTTATTTTAAATAAAGATTTAGACTGTGTTGTGTCCGAGATACTGTGATATCTCATTAAATATCTCTATTATGCACTTCTATACAAGACCAATTAGACACACAAAACCTGGAAAGTCCACTGGAACTGTTGGCAACATCTACTTGCTAGAGGGTATTAGCCCCATCTGCCTGCTTTCCTGTGTAGCTGAGGGTCCACATATGCAAAGCTGTCTTTGATGAGAATACTAGAGAGACATTCCTGGCTGCCTTAGATCTTCTTACTAAAATATTCTGTCTCCCCTTTCCCGTCACAACCAAACTCACTTCTGTTGTGCAAACCATGCAAACCTTGCCGAACCCATCTCCTGCTTAAGAAAAAATAAGACTTTACTTGCAAGTAAGTGCATACAAAGGAAGGAAGTTGCAAAAAAGTTTATCAAAATAAAGAAGATCCCCACTGATACGCAGTCTCAGTTCAGTTCACATCTATGGATTCCCCTTTCTGTCTCTTCCCTGCAGAGAGGCCAAGAGGATGGAAATATACAGAGACATTCCACTAACTCATCTCAGTGGATGAGATGATGACATTTTCTGCTTTCCTCACACAGGTGTTTGTGAACTTTGCTAAACAGCAGATGGAGGATGAGGAAATTCCTTTGCATCCCCGTGCAGCTGGAGCCAGCCGAGAAGCAAAGGTGTCCCCTGCTTTGCATCAGCAGGCAGTTGCATAGACTATTCCTACAGTCACTTGCACTTACAGTGTGCACACTGCAAAGACGTGCCATAACGGAGCAGTACAAGGGTAAAACAAAGGTTCCCACACTCAGTATTATACTGATTTTTTTGGACCTTTCTGAGCACTCTGCTCACAACAGCAACAGCCCTAGCAACAGCCAACTTCTGCTGCTCTACCAAGAACACTACGTGCTGAAAGTGTCAAAGGAAAGGCAGGTCCTTGCTATAGAACAAAACCATCCTCTAACATAAAGTTCACTATAAAATACAAGAAGAAAGTCTCATTCCTCCTTCTTGACATGTAAAGAGCATCAAAGACAGTTTATCTGTCTGGTCCTTTCAGGCTGGTAGGTTTTTTTTATTTAACTCTTAAGTCAACTGCTACCAGTCAGCAGACATGTCCCAAGACAGAGAATATTGCCCAGCTTAGAAGTGGCTTCCTGCCATCCTGAGTGCACAGGATTACAAAGGTCAGAACATCATTGCCGGCTGATGGGGCTAGTGCTGGCAGACTGCTTCACTGTCTCACCAGGCTGACAGTGAAGATGGACAGTTGTCTTAGCAAGAATGGGAAGAATTAATTTAGATCTCAGACACAGGCAAGAAATTTCCTTAAAAAAGAAAATGATCTCATACTCATCTTTAAGTTTCTCAGACAGAAGCAGAATGTCAAAATAGAGATTAAAAGGAAAGAGAGTATGTCCAAATCTGCCAGAAGTTTTGTTTTCTTATGGAGGCCTGGAAAGATATCTTTGTTACTAAACAAGATCAAATTTTTCTTCTTTCCTGTGACTGGACCTTAAGTGGGTGTAAAGTGTGAAATGAGTATGTGCTCAGAAGGAAAATTTCAACCTGCTTGTACGCCACACTGCACACATGGGAAATCATTGAACATTTAGCTCTTTTCTCTGGTTCACAGTTAAACTAGTGGAAAATAACAATACTGAAAAAAATTCGTAATGATGTATTGCTTCAGTTATCTACCAGATCTAACAATTTCTAAGAAATCTCCTCTAAGATATGTTATACAGAAATAAAATCTGGGTCATGTATTTTTGCTTTGTTAGGTTTTTTCTTCAATTGATGTAGACCTGTTTTTTTAATATAAGGACATTCTTGCTTCTTACTGTACAAAATATTACGAAACTTCAGCAACCAGCTGTAGTCTTCTTCTTTTGCCATAATTATTTCAAATGATTTCAAAATATAGTCTAGAATTTATTGCATATTTCACCCTTACAAATAGTTGCAAAAATCTTTTTATACATCCATTATAGATAAATAAATTAATCATGAAACAAAACAGTATCTACGCATTCACTTCATATTCTAAAATAGCTTCTTTAAAATGTCACTCAGATAAATTGCAATAGTCTTTTTTTGCACAAAACCCAACTAAGTCCCACTGAACATCTTGTGAAAAAGAAAACATAGGAAGTCCAAAATGTAGCTGATTTTTCTCCCTGGCTCTGAAAATAGGAAGGGAGCTAGCATTCTGAGGACTAGTAGTCACTTCATGTATTTACAAAGTGTATTAAAAATTATTCAGAGAATGCTGACAAAATGCTAGGTAAAAGGTCCCTTAGTATAATAAGGTCTTATTATATGAAAATAGGCCAAATATCACAGATATAGCATAGATCAGATCTTCTGAACCTTATTTACTAGTATGCAATTTGCTAATGAAGAAGACTAAAAACAAACAAACAAAAAAACCCAAAACCACAGGATGTTACATCCACAAATACTAAAATACTTCTTACTTCAGATTCTTTTGGCAAATTAGGGTTTAGACCCAAACCAGGTATTTGAGATATTGCCTATTTCTTTATTCCACGAACCACTCATATTCTTTGGTAATGTTGTTTGTTATAAAGCACCTGCCTCCAGGCAGCACACTCTTCTTCAAGTCAAAGAAGGCAGATCATGCAACTGTCTTCAGGCCAGCTGGCCATGCTGGCTGAGCTGAGCTCTCTAGTAGTTAGCTGGTATGTCCTCGTTCCAATGTACTTATGTCTTGCAGAATGCCACTGCTAAATTTGGAGCTGCTTTCGGCACAGACTTCTCAGTATCTCTGATCCATCAATCTAAATAGACTAGTACAGGAAAATTTAAGTCAATCAGGTTACAGTGAACTGTAGAGGCTTTTGACTGCCAGCTGTGCAATGAAGCCTTATTTTTTGAAGGTACTTCTGAGTTGAGAATTCTTGAGCATAAGGAAGTGTAGCTTTCAAGTGCATACAATTTCCCTCAGCAGTGGAGATTCAACATGCACCAAAATCCTTTAAATTAATTCACTTATTTAGCAGGAGGTTTATGAGCTTTTTCTTCTTGAAGTTCCATGCAATATTCAAATTAAACCTTTTTTCTTACAACAAGAAGGGAATAATTGGCATTCGAAAACTTGGATAATCCTTGAATTCTCGTAGGTAGGTGCAGTGTTTATCCTTTGCCCAGATTGTCATCTGAATGAAGCAAAGCAAAGCGAACAGCCCCACTGGAAGCAAGGGAGAGAAATACACGTTTCATTATCAAGCTAAAAACACACTCTTGTTGCTGACATCACTTCAGGGTGAAGTTCCAAAACATTACTCACCTGGAACACACTGAGTCATGATAGTGAAACTGATCCAGGTCCCCACCTGTTTTGGCCAAGGAAATTTAAAATATTTCTGGTGACAGCATTTGCATTTATGTCTCTATTGATCAAAAACAACCTTGTCCTAGTATAGGTAAAAAAAGCCAAGGTCAGCCATATCAGTTTCTAGTGTTAATAACCTTTAGCCAAAAAGGTGAACAGTGCCTTACTATCAGAAACAAAATCTTCATGTTTGCTTCCATAGCTATTTTCATGATAAAATTTTAAGCATTACAACATAGTGTGATCCTTTCCATTTCTCTGCCTAATTTGTATTTGCCACACCTCCATCAGTGCTAGGAATGGTAACTTTCTATAGTCTGAGGCCAAATGCTGTTCTCATTAACATCTGCTAATCTCCACTGAAGTTAAAACCTGATGCTGTCCTTCTATGAGAGAGTGAATTTTACACTGAGTTTAATTGCTTTGGAACGGAGTCAGGAGTTTGTCTCCTGATTAAGGAATATGAAGTGGTAAACTGATTTAAGCTTCTAAAGCAGTCACCACCAATACAAGCTTCTGTATAACTTAAGAAAATGGAGAATGTGACCTGGGCCTATTTTCTCTAGCACAATATCTTCTGTTCATCTATTTCTCTGTTTCCTCTACAACAACATATTCTATTCGTCTGCCCACTGTCTTCCTGGGCACTGTGATACTCCTGGGCTCTCTTATATTGTAAATCCACCAGATGCCCCCATTCCCTCATTGCAACACGCATTCAGTGGCAATCTCCCTGTTCCTGTCTGCAAAATTTGCACCACTTTAAAGTGTATCTGTCTTGTCTTGCAGCCACACTGAAGCATAGGCCCAGGGCCTGGGCTGCCTGTTTAAGGTTCGCCTAGTAAGTACTGCCTCAAGGGAGGAAAGGAAGAACAGACAAGTTCCTGTCTGCAATCTTGATTTCATGGGGTTTAGGGGAGGAAGGGAAATGTATTATGCTGAACTGTTCCAGAGGTTTTTTCCATGCTTAACATTCCAAAAGAAATGAAAATATATTCAGCAAAACTAAAATCTGAATATCTTGTTTGAAAATACATACCTCATACGTATAGTTAGGGCAAGATACAAAGAAAAACAGCCATGTGAAAGGATTCTTTGTTGGATATGGGATCTTACGGGTTTTGGATCCTATAGATTAGAAAACAAATCACAAAATATTCACACTCCTAAATATATTGTTTCCTATAAAGACAACCTAACTCTGCCTACTCCTATGTCTCATCACTGTCAGAGCAACAAGCTGGATGTGGGAGAACAGGATGTCCTCTAGACCCACAAAAAGCAATAGAATAACTGTGAGGAAATGTTCTGGGCATTAGAAAGTCATCTGCATATGCCTTTGATCACAGTCACTCCTGTAAGAAGAGGTATCTCAAGTTTTAGATTTAGAAGTAAAAGTTTTCTCAGATTCTCACAGAATGGGATTTTACCAGTCAGTTGATAGCTGTAAAACGCTGGGCTCATGCCCAGGGAACCCTGGCCTGCACAGAGATCTTGTGCCTCCTGTAGAAGCCCGTGAAATTACTTTCCCTTGCTCACCAAAGTATAGCTTATACTAGCACTGTTTCCTTTTGCACTACCAGTGTAACTAATATAACTGCTCCCCCCAACACAACCTGGCCCTAATCAATAAAAATTAGAGTAAGATAGGAAGTGCTGTTTAACAGTCCGGTGTTGGATGCCTTGCACTGTCTGATCTCCCCTAGAATCCAGTCTCTACAGTGCTGAGCAACCTGCACTCCCACAGCAGTCAGCTGGCAGGTATCAACACCCTCCAGGATCAGGTCTTTCATAAGGCAGAGTAACTGCAGAAGTATTGAATGGCTGCACAAAAGTGAAAAATTATAATGCAATTTTTACCATATCTCTGGAGGTCACTGAGTGCAACATGAATGGAAAAATTTCCAGCTTCACACAGCTGCAAGAAAAAGCATTACAAAGTTAAAAACGTGCTTCCCTTCGATTCACTCTTCTTCCTTTTGTTATTTCTAGGGGTACTTTAAAAAAAAAAAAAAGGTGTTCTGGTTTTAGCTGGGACAGAGTTA